TCTCAACCACCCCTAAAATTATTTGTAAAAACATGCTCCTTATTTAAGAAAATTAATAATTAGATTTAATTGCTTGGATACCCTTATGTCTGAATTGGTGATAAGTTACACTTTCTAATCTCAAACATGTAAATGTTTTAAGCTTAAAAAGGGTACATTTGAAATTTATAGCCTTTTTTCCCACTGTAAAACCTGACTTAAACTACTTTAACGGATTTTGAATGTAATGTTATTTATTTAAATATATTTTTGGAAATGATTTTTAGCTCTGTCTCTATGCAGCTGCAATCCAAATGACTGGACTTGAGTTTATTCAATTTTTTTGGAAATTTGTTTACTGATTCAGGTATTCAAAACTGAGTTTTTCTTTTTATTTCCCTTTTTCACTTATATTAAACACATATGTATATAATCTACACCTCTAAATATACATAAAGGGGGCATTTGGTTCAAGAATGTTAGATTACTGGGAATCTTTAAGAAAATGTGTTTGGTTAGTTGGTGGGTATGTTATATTAATATGGTTGGTTATGGGGAATAAATTGGTGGGTATGTTATTTAAATTACTAAAATGTCCCCTTTACAAATATTAATATAATATTATTTTTATTATTAATTTTTGAATAATTTTTTTAACCCCCAATTTTTCAGATTTAGTTAAAACACCCCTGCTTATATAAAACTTTAATTTATTATGAAATCACCCCCACCTCCTGCTGCCACGGCAGACCACCACCGGAAGTCTCCAAAAGTCCCCATCAGCAACTCACCGTGATTAAGAGGCTTCGCTATGGCCGTTTTCGGCCATATTGATGGCCGAAAACGGCCATATCAAGCTAGATCTGGCCGTTAATGGCCAGATCCCTGGCCATTATCGGCCAGATCTATTTCGGTCGGAATAGATCTGGCCATTAACGGCCAGGTCCGTGGCCGTTAACGACCAGATCTGGCCGGATATGGCCTTTTTCGGCCATCAATATGGCCGAAAACGTCCATATCGATGACTCCCAGAGCCTCTCACTCAAACTCGTTCTTTTTTAGGGATTCCGACGAGTTTTCCGAGGCGGTCCGTGGTGGTTGGCCGCTATAGGCGGTGGTGGCTGGGTGGCAGTTGTGGTGGTGGCTGAGTGGCAGTGGTCTGTAAATTTTTTTAAATACAAGGACATTATTGTCCAAAATTTTAGTTAAACAAGGGTAAAATTGAAATAGGATATTAATATAAATTTGTTTTAAAATGAGGGCATTATAGTCTGAAATTTTCATTAATAAGGGATAAAATTGTAAGAAAAAATGATAACCTTGGTAATCTCAGAATACCTAAGAAAATGGAGGTAATCAGATTACTTCCAATATTACCAATAGTAGTTACTATTGGTATTTGAAGATTACCGAAATCTTATATTACTTGACAACCAAACGTGGTAATCAAGTAATATTAGATGACATTACCCAAATAATCTGACATTACCGCGAACCAAACGCCCCCAAAGGAAAATGTTACATCCATAATCTCTTCTCACAAATTTTCTCTTACAACTTCGATGTGGCAGTTTGCAATTAATTAACTTATAATGGGTTCCACCTAATAGATTGTAGTTGATAATTACGAGTTGTCACATTGGAGTTATAAAAGAAAGTTTATGAGAAGAGGTTGTGAGTATAGTATTACTCTATATATAAATAATATAGAAAATATAAATATAAAAAGATTAAGGAGAAGAAAGAAGATAAAAGAAGAAAAGGGGAGAAAAAAAAAAAGTGAAGTGAAGTGTATTAAAGAAGAAGGGTAAAATCGTTCAAAGTCTATATTAAAGGTCTTACTTGGAAAAGAATTGTTTTTCAATTTGACTAGAGTTATATAGGTAATTTTCTCCTATTTAATCTGTATATAACATTATATTTAATCTGTAAATAAGGAGATATCGTTTAATGGGCTCCCCTTTTATTTACCGTTTACTTATTTATATTTAAAAAGTCTCACCGCCTTTCTTTTCAAGTTTTGAATATAAAGAGCCGTTGGCGTTTGCGCGGTTCATAAATTTCAACATTCCAACTGCTAGATTTGACATATTTCTGAAGCTCCAGAGGCGTCTTATTGATTTCTTCAAAAATATAAGAGAGAGATGGGCGGAGGGAAGAAGAGAAAGCTCGAGAGACGTGACGAAACAGCGATCGATCAACGTTGCAACAAGAGACGTGAAGGTCTTTTTGATGAGGCCCATAAGTTCTTGGCCGATGCTTCCTCCGTTGAGTCCTGTAGTCTTTGGCTTCAGGCTGTTCTTTATGATTACGATTCCTACGATTTTAGCAAAGAAGAGTTGATTATGTTTAATCGAGTCATTGATATGGTTAAGGCCAAGGTTCTCTCTTTGTACGCCGCTCTTCAAGCGCAAAAAAATCCTCGTGTTTGAGACGTTATTTAGAAGGTATTTCATTTTCATTTGATTAATTAACTACTGAATTTCTGCTTATCATTTACTCCCTCCGTTTCCTTTTAATTGTCGTTTTAAGACTTTTTAAAATTTTCAAAATTAAAGTCGTTCTGCCCTTTATCTTGTCTGCACCTTTCAAAATTGTTAAAACAAATGAATAAGACAAAATTATTAAAAATGTTACTGTATTTCAATAAGCGGAAAGTTTCCACTTTCAAAGTCTCTCCTACTACAAAATCAGGGAAAAAAGTGGTGGGAGAGAGAAATTTTTGTTTTTATTAAAATCTGTGCCCACACTTAAAACGTCAATTAAAAGAAAACGGAGGGAGTAACTTTTTTATGTTACACTTAGCCGTTATAATTAGGGTTTGTAATTAAAATTGATGTTTAAGATTTGGAGCTGCCAGTATAATCAAATTCTAAAATAGCACTTAAAACTTTACGATTAGAGTTTTTAATTAGGGTTTCCAGTGATCACTGGCATTACTAACTGTGGTTATTTTTTAATTAATGTTTTGGGTTTGTGTGTTCGAGTAAAAGCAATATCTAAAATTTAAATTTATTGGATTCAGCGATCGAGTCTTATCAATGTGAAAATGCTCTTTTATGGATTTTATCCGAGAACTATTTTAAAGTGGTTATTGTAATAAGAAAGTTTGAGTTATGTGGGTATTTTTAACTTCTTTGATCATCTATTGATATTTATGATTATAGGTGGTGCAAAAGAGTCTGCTCCTTATGAAAGCATTTGAAAACACTTGTTTAGAAAAATTCAAGACTCTTTAGTTACTTAATTTTGAAGAACAAGGGGTATAAATTTCCTCTGATCTGGGATCTTGTGAATTCCTTGCTTGGATTAAAAAGTGGCAAAATTCCTTCTCTTGTTGCCTCCTCTTTTTTTTTTTTTTTTAATGTCTAAAGTGGGGAAAGAAACTGAATATGCGCTTATCATGATACTTTTGTTCTCTAGTTTTGAAGGCGCTTGTGAATGATAATTTGATATATTTGCAGACTGCTAGGATTTGCTAGAGCTTCATTCTTCCTTGTCTTTGTAGCTGTACTGTGAGCTATTGCATTATTGGCCTTGTGGACTTTGATACTTAATTTGGTAAGCCAGTGGTGTTGGTTTTGTGGCTGTGCTGACTGAAACAAGAGGGTGTGTCTGTGTCCTGTTTGTGGATTCTTTTAGCCTTCTGGTCAGAGCTTTGCGCCTGCTGTTTCAGTTTTATGTTTCCCCGCTTGGATTTGGTGGATAAATTGCTCTTCTGCCTATCATTAACTGTTGATTCTTCACTCAATGTGGAGAGCGTCTGTTGCACTCAAGAGTTTTGAAACGAACTGGAAATTGATTTCTACTGAGAAACCGTCTGCTCTAATTTGATTTAGACGGCTGTCGAACTATACAAGATTTGAAGAGAGGAACTTGTGGCTGTTATTTGCATGTTCTTCCTCTAAGACATGGCTAGTTTTGCAGCGGAAGCATATGTTTGGTTTTGGTAGTTTAGAGGAGATGCCGTTGTATTGATTTGGTCTTACTTCAAAAGTCTACTGTAGCTTGCATTTTCATAAACGCATATTTTGAGCTGCTGAAGTGTTGATATCCACTACCCTTTGATGGTTAGTTAGTTAGTAGTTACTGAAGGGAAGGCTTTGTTGCAGATAATGAGTTACATTCTACATCTGGTGCTCTTTTATTTCGGCGATTGCCTATTTTAGGTGGTGATGGATTACCAAGACACCTATATGCATACAGCTTTTGAGGCGAGAGACTTGTAGCTGTTATCTGGAAGTTGTTCCTCTGATAAGTGATAAGCAGTAGTTTATTACTGAAGCAGTCAGCTGCATTATAAGCTATATGTTTGGTTTTTGATAGTTTACAGGACATGGTTGAGCTGATTTTGTTCTAGTTGGCATTACAAGGCTTAACTGTCAAAAGTTGCTGATATCCTTTGCTCTTTTGATGGTTTTTTTGCTGAAGCGAAGGCTTTGCTCCTAATTTTGAAGTGAAAGGCTTTTCTTTTTTCACTATGGGATCTACCATCTTTTTGGCTTTGTTTAGAAATTGAATTTCAGTCTTCTGTATATATTTTTTTTTTTTCTAATAAAATTTTAAACATTTTAGATGTCATATTTGCATGCTTTCTCATATTATATTATGGATCTTATTGACTAATAATAACAGTAAAAAGAAAGAATAAAAGGTCACATCATGATACAATAAAATTGAATAGTTAAAAATTATCATAAGACATTTAAGATCTTTTTTCCTTAAGTAATTATGATCTTTATCATTTATCCGAATACTTCTGTAAGCTTTAAGACTTTAAATCACATGATTTTGATCAACATTCAATGATACACTTGAATGTACGTAAAAGAAATCCTCTTTCAGTAATTAGAGGATGCACTGCACTCTGTTGTTCACCTGAATTGAAATGCTCATCTTACCCAATTCTTTTTGTTCAGAATAAGTTTGGCATCTTCAGCTGTAGAATTCTGAAATGCAACACAACGCCCAAAACTGTTCTATAAGTAATTTTCAGCAAAAGTAATATAGAATAGAACTAATTTGAAGCTAAACAGACCATTAATATAAATAATATTCAACCTACAATTGCCACTTTACATAGATTTATATGTTTTGTCTGTCTCATAGAAGGGGAAAAAAAATTAGACATTTATCTACCAACTTTAACTTAAGGCTCACGCCATTGAAATTTCCAATGTCATGGAGATTGTTCCCTACTCACTGTTAAGAATTCCAGCCACTATGCTACTTCCATGGTTCATCTAGAGTTCAAATCAAAATTCCCCACTTCACGCCACTCATCCTGCATGCCCGTCTCCCCATTTTCAGTTTCCTCATCATTTAAGAAATCTTCAGATGGCTCCTTCTCATCTCTGTGTGCATTGTTTCCCCATCCATTCATCATTTCATCTGGGTTAACACCTTGTTCCTGATCTCCCATATCATGGCCAATTGAAACATTATTGACTTGAGAACCAAGTGCACTTGCCCTTATTGGTGCTCGAGTCATCATTTCATCACAAGCATGAGACTCAACTCGAGCTTGCTCAGCTTGAACCATGGCAGCCATTCGCAACCTAGCCTCATGAGCCTCTCTACCAGCCTTCTCTCTTGTCTCTATTTCTGCCCTCAGTTCCAGTATGGCTCTTCTCTCCTCTTGGAGAAGAGCCTGCTCAATCATCAACCTCTCCTCAGATCGAAATTCACCTACAGCTCGCTTGCGGGTTATTATGTTGAAAGCAAGGGCCTGTTTCTCAAATGTTCCTGTGAACTCTGCAACTTTGGCAGCAATGTTGTTATCCCACTGCTGGGAGCGAGAAGGCATTTGGCCTGTTGTGTCAGAGTCAAGGATTCTATCATCTTCCTCTGCTTCATAGTCTGCTACCACATGATAAGGTAGTAGCCTGCAGAGATAGAAATGAGAAAGCATGAATTTCCAGAATATTCTTGAACATTGATGTCGCAAATCCTTTTGAGTAAAACATAAGCTTCAATTTCCTATGTTTAGAACCATTTAAATAAATCATCCGATAAGCTTGTATCAAAAACATTTAAGACTTCAATTACTATGTTCAGTATTATTTGATTAATTCAATTACCACATGCCAGAAGCGTTAAGCGATCTTATTCACCATTTCCAATTTCTTTTCTATGTGAAAAAGGAGCGTATTCTACCTGATCTTCCCAAACCCACTTCAATAATATCATAAACTGCATATAATGATGATCCATTAATAGAATGAATCAGTAGAATTAATATAAGACATCAACTGACGTGGAGCTGAGGGGATACAGTTATTGATTTGTATATTTATTTTTGATAGGAAAGACGTATAGTTAGTAAACTTAGAAAAATCTGTAGTTTATTAGCAGTATCAATAGTAATGAACATTCCACTGAATCAAGATGCGTTTTACATCATGCCTCATGGAAGAGAAGTGTTGGCACAGAATGACCAAAAATCAATGCATCTGTCAAATCACCACTCCAATTGGTTTCAACAAACTAAACTTGTACTCATGTGAATACTTGACATACTATCAAGGAGCTATATCAATATTAGATATGTCTCATATAACAGTACTTCAAGGATTACCTTCAATTGTATCAAAACTTCTTATTGGTATCCAAGATTTGAAAATTAATCTGAAAAACGTAAAAATTTATAAAGACTGTCTCCTGTGACATCCTTATAACCCCATACACCAAAGAGCACACAAATATTATAACAATATAACATAATGGAAAAAGATTTTACAAAAGAATAACAATCAAAATCTCCAACTCACTTCGCAAAAAATAACAAATGGTGTTTAGATGGGTTTTAATATGCCAGATAATATAAGCAGGCCTAATTCGCCTACATTAACCAGGCAGTGATTATCAGTAAGAAAATAAAAATGCATGGAACATGATGCGCAGTCTATTAGACAGCGGCAGGAATTTAGGAGAATCAACAACGAAATTAAAATGAAGACAATAAAACAAACCAAGATTACAGAGTGCAACTCCTAGGACATTCAGACAAATAATTTTCCCACTACCTGAAAATGATTATAGAAGTTTGGGAGATTAATGTTTTAATAAAATTTACCAGAATAAAAATAAGACTATTTTATTAACATTAAAAAAGAATTATCAAAAAGTATAAAAGAATATTGTGTTATGTAAATATAAATATTTCTGAAAATTGTTACAGGATTGTATGCATCATAATTGTGATTAACAAATTAAATTAACAATCTACAATAGGATAAATACCCTCCAAGAACCACCATCCAAATAAACTGTAATTCTGCATTTCTAGTACAAGCAATGCCAGCACTTTTTCAAACTATAGGCAACAGGGCTGCCGAATATAGCATCCTTTTATGGATGAAATATTGCTAGCCAAAGACTTTTGTGCCAAATAGTGCATAACTCCAAGTCCAAACACTGAAATCACGAATGACTTCATATTTGATTCAATCTCCTATTTGTTTGGAAAATCATCTAAAACTTACTTTCTCAACTCCTTCCATGCCACATTTATTGATGTTAAAATATAAAAGGTATAATTCCTATGGGTATTCATCAGAGGTCCTAATCATCTTCATCCAAATTGACAAGTGTTGCCAAACGTCAACCAACTTATTCGTCTTTATCCATATTAATTCTAATTTGATCACATTAATGTAATGTAATCTACATCATTTTTGGACAAATGCTGTACAAACTTTCAAAAACTTATCTAAAATGGCCCATAACACTGCCAAACTAAAGCATTCATTAAATTATTCTCACCTCCATTGGTATCTTTTTAATACATAACAATAATGTCATGTCACGTTAAATACGACCTAATTGCATTCTTCAAGGCACAGTTCATACTTATATATAGCACAATAAGAATGAAACTTCAACAAATATAAACTCACAAGTCTACAACCATAAGCAAAACCCAAATACCTACCCTTCCTAACATTTCTTCAGACACCTAACAGTTAACAAAACGAGGCATAAACTAAAATCAATACTCTTAAATAACAGATAAAAACAAACCTCTCACAAGCATCTTCAAGCGATGTGAATGGGCGCTTGAAATCCGGGTGGCAGACCCGCCAGGCGTCCTGGTAAGCCATCTGGAGCTCCATTTGGTTCAACGGCCGCATCCCTTTCTGTTGTTGCTGTTGTTGCTGCTGTTGCTGTTGCTGTTGCTGTTGCTGTTGCTGTTGCTGTTGCTGTTGCTGTTGCTGTTGTTGTGGCTGTTGTGAATTTTGCTGACTCGGTTGCTGCAAATTAGAATTAGCATTGGCATTAAGATTGGGATTAGGGTTAGGGTTAGTATTAGGGTTAGAATTAGGGTTAGGGTTCTGTGGTTGGAGAGTAATGGGTCGGTGGAGGCCAGGTGGGCGAAGATGGGCATCGATGTTAGAAGGGAAGCGAGAGATGGCAGCTTGTTGTTGAAGTTGTTGTAAGAGAAGAAATTGTTGTTGTTGTTGTTGTTGATGTTGGTTTTGATGTTGTTGTTGGTGTTGGTGTTGGTGTTGTTGTTGTTGTTGTTGAGCTTGCTGTTGCTGGTGTTGTAAGAGAAGTTGTTGCTGGTGCTGGTGCTGGTGCTGGTGTTGAGCTAAGGCCTTAGCTTCTTCCATTTCTCTAACTCTCTTCACCTTCTCGTTTCAGAAGAGTGATCGAGTTTCAGTAATTGTTGACCAAAAGAGAGCTTGGTTTGGAGGCAAGGCAAATGGAAACTTTTAGATTGGGCTTCTAAGGCCCATTTGAGAGAAATGGGTCCAAAAAATTGGTTATTAACACACACATGCATCATTGACCTATGTTTTACCCCCCTTTTTTTCTTTTTTTTTTTTTCTTTTTTTTTTAGGGAAACTACACTTACAATCTTATATCACAAATTTTCACTCACAACTCTTAGATTGCAGCTCCTACTTTTTTACTGATGAATTAGTCATTCAACGAGATAAAAAATAAAAGATAAAGTAGTCATTTTATATAAATTTTATACAATTTTTGTCTTGTTATATGACTCGGTTATAAGAAAATATTATTATTCTATAAATGTATAAAGACTAAAAAAAATAATAAAAATTAGCTCACAATCCAATCTCATAAACTCTCTCTCACAATCCCTACATAATAACTCTTAGGGGGCGTTTGGTTCAGGAATGTTAGATTACTGGGAATGTTGGATTACTGGAAAGATAGATTATCTTGGAAGATTACTGGAAATTTTTGGGAAAATGTGTTTGGTTAGTTGGTGGGTATGTTATATTAATATGTTTGGTTATGGGGAATAAATTGGTGGATATGTTATTTAAATCACTAAATTGTCCCTTTTTTAAATACTAATATAATATTACTTTTATTATTAATTTTTGAATAATTTCTTTTAACCCTCAATATTTCAGATTTAGCTAAACACCCCCGCTTATATAAAACTTTAATTTATGACGAAATCACCCCCACCTCCTGCCGCCATCGCAAACCATCGTCGGAAGTATTGGAAAGTCCCCGCGACCAAGAGGCTTCGCTATGGCCTTTTCCGACCATATTGATGACCGAAAACGGCCATATCAGGCCAGATCTGGCCGTTAGCGGCCAGATCGATTCCGACAGTCCATGGCCGTTAACGGCCAGATCTTGTCCAGATCTGGCCGATAATGGCCAGGGATCTGGCCGGAAATGGCCAGATCTGGCCGTTTTCGGCCATCAATATGGTCGGAAACGGCCATATCGAAGCCTCCCAGAGCCTCCCACGTAATCTTGTTCTTTTTTAGGGACTCTGATGATTTTTTGGCAGCGATCCGTGGTGGTTGGCCGCTTTTATCGGTGGTGGCTGGGTGGCAGTGGTGGTGGTGACTGGGTGGTAGTGGTGGTCTGTAAATTATTTTAAATATAAGGGCATTATTGTCCAAAATTTTAATTAAATAAGGTAAAATTGAAATAGGATATTAATGTAAATTTGTTTTAAAGTAGGGGTATTATTGTCCAAAATTTTTATTAATAAAGGATAAAATTGTAACAAAAAAAGATAACCCTGGTAATCTCATAATACCTAAGAAAATGGAGATAATCAGATTACCTTCGATATTACCAATAATAACCACTATTGGTATTTGAAGATTACCGGTATCTTATATTACTTGACAACCAAACATGGTAATCAGACAATATAAGATGACATAATCCTAGTAATCCCACATAACCCCCAACCAAACACCCCTTAGTTTTTTACTGATGATTTTGATTTAAGGAAATCATAGTAAAAAAGTAAGAGTTATCATGTAGGGTTTTGTGATAGAAAACCCACTATATTATATTAACATAAGTGCTCCCTAATATTTTCATCGCTAGTATGGGCTTCCATGGCACTATCAACTTGTTTTATTATTATATTATTTCTTTATTGTGGATTTAGAGGCATTTATTTTATTTTTCTCATTAAATTCAACTATAAATAACCCTTAGTCAAGCTTTCTTTTTTTTTTTTTTTTTTTTTTTTTTTGGGAGTTTTTTGACACCTTCTTTACATTTGGAATAAATTTTTGGAAAGATTATACCTAAATTCAGTGTTTTGATACTTAACTCAGCTCTACCGATTGAATCGGTTGAACTGAGACCATGGGCCTTCGCCAGACAAGTTATCACTTTTAGTTATTCATCCTAAGCCCTACAATTATGGACGACAATTGGTAAGCATACGAAGGCAATTATGTTGGGGCTTTTGGAGAGGGAGTGCCGGTGAGTTCAAAGGTGATGAACAGAGTGATTTTCGATGAATAAATCGATCGAAAAAGGCAAAAATCAGCCGACTAAAACAACATGTTGTCGACGATTGGTGGAACAACGAGATGGGTTTTGGTCAAGAGCTGAGGGGAGTGTTGTCGTCGCTAGAAACATGCTCTATTTGGCTTGGGTTGTTGATGCTGATGGTGGAGTTTGTGACGTTTTTGTAAGATTTCAAACTTATAGGAACTTACATATAATTTTTAAGGATATTTTGTTGAATTTCAAACTATTGGACACGGGTCAACCTAGGACTTGGTTATTAAAACATTGCCTAAATTGATAATTAACACGTCTTCTAATTTTTAAGTTAGTAACAAGTTGGGTTTTGATAATTTAGGTTAGTTCAATGACCAAGTACTTTGAATAGGAACAAATTATTTATGCAAAAATTCCATCATCTGTTAAGCATCCTCGTCCTTCTATAATGAATTTCTGTCATCTTTCTACTAGGTTTTTTCTTTTCTTTTCTTGTTATAACGAATGCCATCATTGACTAATAGTATGAATTTATTAAAAAATAAATAGAAATGAAATTTTCTTTGACCCTAATTATTCACTTGTACATTTCTGTCGCCTCACTTTAAGGTACCACCACTTCCCACAAACATCTAAAGTGCTTTTCTTTTTATTATTTGCGTTATTGAGTAATTGAAGGAAAAGGCATGCATGATCAGATGTTGGGAAGAAAGAGAAAAACTGACCAATTGCTTGCGCACAACACACCCTTTTGGGGAAACATTTAAATAGCAAATCTTTTACAATTGAGGATATTTCACATTTTCAGTTATTCAATCTTATTTGCTAAGTTCAACAATGTCCCATGCAACTTTATGACACAAAATTACATAATACAAATCACAATGTCTCATGGAATGGAAGAACACCATTTACACTCCCTTATAATCTTCTATCATTCACTATCGCTAATTATGAGATTAATAAATCAGCGAGTAAAACTGTAAAAGATCAAAATCTGGTAAATCATTAAAAGCCATATTTATATACCCATAACAATATATAAAAACAAACATAATTAACACCTCAAACATTTGTGGAAACTTTCTTTCAAATTGGTGCAAACTAGGAGGCATTCGCAAAGCCATTGAGTCAAACTACAAGCCAAAGCCAATGTCATAAGTAATCATCCCACTTCTTTGCTTTTGCCTCTTCTTTCTTTCTCTCGATCTCACATGAACAATAACACGAACCATGCATTGAACAGTAAAACTAAACTAAGGATTTTGATGAAGGAAAGGAAAAAAAAAAGAAGCTTCTCCCAATTTTTTTAATCCTTTTTCATTTTCTGGACCTTGAATCAAAGAAAAAAAGAATTCACAAACCTAAACGTACCTACAAAATATTAGGGACATGGGAATCCAATCTCTGCTGCAAGTCCTTGATCTTCATAGATAACTCTGTCTTCTGCTCCTTGTAGCTCTGCAACAAATACTCTTTACCTTCTATTACTTCCTTCAACTCTCCAACTTCCCTTTTCAGCATGTCAATCCTCTCCCAATCTCCCTTTCCCTTTTCCGGAAATTCAAAATTGCTCTCCCCATCAGTGTAAACATTTGCATGACCATTTCTTGCATCAGTTGGCCAACTTGTGACCCTTGATGGCTTGTCATTGGTGCCCACTTGTCCGGCACAATGATCTGCAATCGCCTTTCTCAGCCTCTGGATTTCTCTCTCAGAATCAAACAAGTCCCTATTTGCAGCATCAAGCTGTGACTGCAAATTAGTAGACAGACCAAGCTGAGCGTTGAGGGAATTCTGCAACTCCATAATCTGATCTTGCATCTCAAGTATCATATCATCTCTTCTCTTCAGTTGTTGCCTTAGCTTGTGTATAACTTCTCTTTTGCTGAAGATATCAGAGCCAGATTCTGAGACACATGGTGAGTCTGAGCAGTTTGAATGATGGAACGGCTTTGGAGGCAACTCAAGGCGATCAGGAGATGATGCCCATATAACCCCATTCTCCTTAGCAAATTCAGGAACAGGTACTGTCACCAGAGGGAGAGAACCATCAGTTTCAGACAGAATCTGGGAATTTGCTTGGTGCTTCATCTCCATCATGCCCTCAGTTCCTGATTCAAACCAATAAGAAACCAAAGGATATCATAAGCACCTTAAAATATTAAATAAATATATGACTTTTGCAAAGTCAAGTACAAGGAAACAAGAGCAAGAAAAAGGGTACAGCAACAGTCCACATGGCCGCAAGCAAATTCTTCAAAAAAAAAAAAAAAACACAATGAATAATTGCCACTTCCAACGGTTTCTAATTTCAACACAGCTATACTGTTAATACAGGAAAATTCAAGTGAAAAAACAGAACTTGCTCTTCTTTGCATCCAGACTATGTAACATACATGACATTCAACAAGCATTAATGTAACCAAATAAGCAATGAGAAACATCACAGGCAGCAACCAGTAGAAGTGCTAAGGGCCAGATTAGGGGTGACTTTAAAAAAGTTAAAAGTTACTATTTAATATATATATTTTTTTTTACTTACTTTGTGTTCAATAAAAATTTCCAAGAGTGATAATTGCATAATTTCACGAATCTTGATAGTTGTAAAAACTAATTAGGTGAGGCCTGAGGGCTACTTTCCAAACAATAGTAAATAGTTTACAGTATCCACTATATCATTATAGATTTATAAAAGACATCTATATCCTTTTAGGACATGTAATTATTTTTTTAGAATAAAAGAACTTTTTATATTTTTATTGTATATTATTTGTGCTACATTAAATTAAATAAAGGCTGATTTTTTTTTTTTTTGGCTTTAGATAGAAATAACGAACGTCATAGATATGTCATTTAAACACCATATCCATCTTGATTTTATATCTTGTATGCATTTTTCCTTTCTATTTTTTTAATTCATTTTTATTATTTGAGTTAGGATGTTGTGTAAGTTTTGTTAAATTTTCTTGACTTCACTAATCAGTGGGTCTTATGTTGCAGCTGCTGATATCATGGAATTTTAAGCGGTCTAAGAGTACTTTTGAAAGTTGATTGTTATTACAAGTCCTAGTTGTTGTCCATATGTTAAGGTCACTCATTAAAATCACCACGTGTTTAGCAACCAGTCCAGCAGCATTTTTGCAATTTCTAAAGGTGTACATACCTTTTTCTATTATTATTGGCCCATGCCTTGTTTCTTCTTTTTTCTGTCTTAACTATATCCACCAAAGATAAAATTGTGGTTTCTGAACAGTACTTAATCTACCAAATGAAACCATAACAAGCCCTTAATCTTACCAACCCTAAACTTTGGCCCAACTCCCTTAAAGAATAATTTAAGCCTTTTTTATAGAATTGAAACTGATGTTAGCGTGACCAACAAAGGTTCATTTTCGTTCTGCAAATTAAACCATACCAACCCTGAAACCCCAAAGTTCCATTCGCCTACAGCTCAGGTATACTAAAGAACCTGGCATCAATCTAACCATTAAATCTGATGCCGGCATACAAGAAACCGTCAAAAGTTAGATTTTATCTCTAGGCCTACTTACACCTTGCCAATCTTTGAACCCTAAAACCCTTAAGTTTCATTTAACTATAGCAATAAAATAATAACTGTTCAATTATGATATAATGGGTATCTTAAAAACACATAGAATGTTAAATCCTTAGCTATCATGCCTGACTATCATCTAGAGAAGATTTCAATACTTTTTAAAAAGAATTCTTTATCCCTTCTATTGAAAAATACCCACCCACACATGTGCTGGGCCTTTCACACAAATCCCCAAGAGTGCAAAGCTGGAAAGCTATACATTTAAACTTTTACACTGCACTAACTATTTGAACAGATCTTTTCCAGTTACACTCATCCATGGCTGTACAGGTTGCACCCATTTGATACATAAGATCCATTGTTAAAACAAGCAGTAGCATCTTAGTAAAATCAACTACACCTGATTCCCCCACATAAACTTGCAGTTCTTACACATGAAAAAAGAAAAGGAAAAAATTAAAAAGAACACACAACTACCAACATGTTCAGTGGTATCAACACAACCAAAAATTTGCTGTAAAGCTTCACTAGCTTGCCCTAAATCCTAATCATGTGCAGGTCAAGTGACAAACAAGAAAGAATTCACACCTGAAATGCAGTTGAAGCAACCATCATCATCTTGCGCAAAGGAATACATGTTTGTATGCAAATGGTGACTCGGTGACCTCCTCCTGCCAGAAGATTTTCCGCTACCTGTACAATTTTGAGTTAGAAAAAGTCTCAAACTGAAGACAGTTCACTAACATAACTGATAGTAGAAGACCTTTCAGAGCATTATCAGCATTTGCCTGTTGCTTGGAGTCAAGTGTCTGCTTCAACTTATAACCAAGACGAATTGACAATGTACTTAACAAGGCTCCACCAGCAATAAGTATCCAATTTGGCCCCTCGCCCTGTATACTCTTGGCCTTCTGACCTCTAGATGCACCATCAGTCCTTGATTTCATTTTAATTGCAAGCAAAGAGTTTGAGGAAAAAATTCTGAATAATCCGAATATGACCTACATTGACAATGCACCAAAATTCCATTGCTATCTATATGAAAGAAAATTAGATGAAAGTGCATCAGGAAAACGACAATTTAATCCATAACATACTGTCGTCATCAAAGAAAAGGGGTTCGTCTCAAATTAGAATGGCATTTACCATGAAGAAGCCACAAGAAAGTTTGGACATGATCATAAATCTAGAAGTTTGCTTCATAGTTGAATATATTACATATTTAGTAAATGTCAAAGATACTTCATAAGATCTCCATGATTCCATTGATATTTTAACCTATGGACAATCAATCAACTATTGACAAACACAAACAAAGGTTTTTTTTCATCTTCACTGTAACAATAAAGTGTTAAACTGTGAGCAAAATTACATGGCTTTCTATATACAGAGTCACATGCATAAACATAGCAGTGTTACCGCTATCGTTTGCTCTAGGTCACCTAGAAGTCATCGCGCTAATTGTCTCTTCCATATCAAGCAGATTACCTTTCATTGCAGACACAAGTCTTCAAAATCATTCCATCACATGGTGGCATAATACTACTCCTGAACTTATTGGCATTCTTCACAGGATATTGGGGGTTCCCTTATTGTTTAGCTTGATTATTTTCCTCATTATTTCTTTCATTGGCTTGCTAGAGTTTTTATTGCACAACCACTAAGCATTTTCCAACATTTCATTTTATTACTTATCTCATCATTTTAAAGATTTCCTACAACGGGTACGGCTCATTATATTTCCCCCTATTTAAAGGTCATTTTACTTCTTATTTAATAAAAGTCTCCTCGTATTTTTGAGATTCTCAAAAAAGTAATTGTTTGTATTACTATACCCTTTCTGAGTTCATATATTTGAACATATATCTTGTCAGTAAGGGATTGTCTTGATATTCCATTTATAATCCACCTAAATGGTTGTTAGTATGTCAAAGGCTAAGGAGTCTATGGCATGCTAGATTTTATAACTTCCCCCTACCATGAATCTTAATGCAACCTCAATATTTAAACCAGATTCAACATCTTAGGTAAATATTAAATCAGAATATCTTTATTAAGCTAGCAACGTTGAAGAATATTCCCTAGATATTTACGGGTTTTGGATCCATAATAATGACAGCATACAGCAACAGTAACCAAACTTGTAGTGGATTCTAAATATGCAAGGAAACCCCAATTACCATGCACATGACTTCAGCAACAATCACACCTATCCATACCTATTCTTGCAAACAGTTCCCTTGCAAAACAAAAACTGTTTTCATTTCCACCATTGTAAAAATACAAACAAGTGACCACACCTATGACTGCACTTCAGCATCAAAACTGCAGTGAAATTCAACTCTGACAACTGTCACCATTTTCCACAGTTTGACTAAGTGAATAAATTCAAGTTGTTTTGATAAAAATGGTTTGGAGTCCATAAACATCTAATAATGTGGAATACTACAGAATCACATTTTGACATTCTAGAGCTTGATATAAGATATATCTCATTAACTAAATCCAACTCAAAACTTGTGGGTGGTAGAGGACTGATTTTAACATCACCCATACACATGTATGTTAAACACTATATGGCACCATTGTAAAATGGGTGTCATTTTGTCCTCTAGACTTGTGTTACATAAATATTCCCTTCTGAACTCGCTCAACAATAGGAAAATGTGAAGTTTAAAATGCTTTTCATCAATTATAAGAACAAATTTGTTAAGTTTAAATAGCACATTACATCTAATTCAAAATCAAGATGGATGCCTTCTAAACTAAAACCACGTGGCAAAGGTAACACCACTCCCATCTGACTGGACAGGAATATTGCAAAACGACGAATAAAGGTGGTTCCTTGTACATGGCGGTTGCCCCCTTCTTAAGTTTGTCTCTTTCCAGCCCAACTATTCATGGTTTCCATTTCTAGCTTATTAATTTGTTACCATTTCAATTATGATCCCAAATTAATAATTATTCAACTACTCTTTGCATAGATTACCCAAAATCATTAAAAAAATAATTTAAAAAAAAAAAAAACTCTCTATCATCAATCACAATCTGAACGCATAAACAAAATCAAACATTTAGAATCGATTATGAAAATCTAAGAATCAAAGCTCAAAATAAAATCAATAAACAAATTTAAAACAAAAAAATCGACGAAAACAAAGAAACGTTTACAAGAAAAGCAAACACCAACCTCATTCAAGAGTTAGAATTCGAATCTCTATCTCTCCCTCGCTAAACTCCAGCACGATGTGGTTTTGGCATCTCTCTCTGAAACACTTCCTCGTACAATAAATTTATCTGAAAATCACTGAGCTTTCTCTCTCTCTAGAAATAAAATCTCGTTAAAAAAAAAAAAGTAAAAATAGCTGAGAGAAGAGAGGGTTTTTGGAAATGGCGGCTTTTGGCTGTGTGTTTTCCCCTCCTTATAAATAATACGCGTAATTTTTTAAAAAAACAGAAAAATTGAAGATTATTTCCATGCCACGTCACTAGGATACGTGTCATCTCACGCTCTATTTGTGACTTGTAAGATATTCACTCAATATAACATAGTGGGTATCATCATCCAGGGAATCCAAGTTTACTGAAATATTTTAGAAGATATAACTATCAAAAATATTAATTAGTATAATTATAAAATGATATAAATGCTCTTAAGAGTTAGAAACAAAATTCAATAAAAAAATTATTTGCATAAAAATTATTTTCAATTCTATTAATATTTTTAGTTTTACGGGTCTTGTAGTTTTTTTATATTTAAATTTTATTTATTTGAATTATTTGCTTATTTGATTTTTTTAATTTTATTTGTCATCGTTTTGTGATCATACAATTAAATATAACATTCAAATATCGTTAAGTTTCCTCTTATTGATATTTTTGAAAATTATGTTTATGATTATAATTAGGTAAAGTTGTATACCCTCAAATAATATTCCATAACATATTTAATTTTCTTTTAATATAATATACATTATTTAACCAAATTACTTCACTCATCTATCATAAAAAATGGTAATATTATAAAAGGAAAGTGTCAAAGAGATATCTTTATTCTTGATTTTCTCGTCAAATTATATTATTTTTTATTGTGTTGTCTACTCTAGAAACTATTAATGGTGTTGAACTGTTGATCACATTTAATATTGTAGTAATATAAAATACATATAGAACAAATTTCTAATTTTTTAAATGTTTTAATTATATTGTACTTAAGAAATGGAGCCCCAATTTTCTTTTAAAAAAATACATTAATGTAATTTGAGAAAAAAATTCTCCCATCAAATTCAATAATATTTTGTTATAATTAAATTATAATCTTACCCAAGATATAGATGTTAAAAGTACTTTATTGAAAGCATATAACGTATAACCCTATCCATTATTCATTTGCTTTTTTCTGCTTTCAATGTTTACAGCATTTTCTTTTTCTTTTTTTACTATCGAAAAGAATAAAAATAAAATAAAATAAAAGAAGCAGGAAATGCACATGCCAAACAGGGTAGTGTGATTTGGCTGCTTTATTAATAAAGGAACAGATTGGCTGGAAAGAGAAGGTAGAAGGAGTACCGTTGACTCAACAAGTGATGATGTAATCATGGGAAGCATGTTTCAGGGCGTGTTTGCTTGCTTAAACAACTTGATTTTTCGGAGTAAATGTTTTAATGGGGTAGCTAAAAATTGTTACATGAAAAAGGAAAATATTGTGGGACTTTAGTTTTTCCTTCTAAATTGTTACATGAAAAAAATATATATATATATTTAAATTGAATTAAAATTAACGTCATAATATTAAATGAAATCAACACTCTCAATGTATTTCATTACAATTTACAACTAACAAAATTAATTGGTATTTAAATAATTTGGTTAAGAGTAGTTATATAGATCTACTTGTCAAACTAGACCATATACTTTATTTTTTAATTATAACTATAATCTTACAGAAATCTTTAATGACCAAACACTTACTCTTAGGCATGATTATTATGTTACCGCCCGAGATTTAGCGAAATTCTAAGTTCATACCTCTAGTTGCATTTATTTTAGATTCATACCCTTAAATTAACACTGTTAATTAATTTTGAATTTTGACTTGTGTTATTATCATCCTACCCTTCACTTTGAATTTACACCCTTAAATTAACATAGTTAATCTCGCTACAAAGTTGAGAGAAAATGCAAACGCCAAGGAGGCTATTTTCCAGCAATGGGAAGGTACAACAATGAAGAGGTTTGGTGTAGGGGTTACAAGGAAGAGGTTTGAGGTGATTTTAGGTGAAAAACCAATTGGAACTAGGCTGAAATTGCCAGAGAAGAAAAAAAGGAGAAAAGAAAAAGGAGAGAAAGAAGAAGAAGAGAAGGAGAGGAAGAAGAAAAGAAAGAAGGGAGAGAAAGGTGAAATCTGAGTATAGAGAGAGAGCAATGAAGGTGGCTAGAAGAGTTGCCGCCGGCGACCAAAACTCCGGTGATCGGAAAGAGTGGAGCAAGATCAAACATATGGGAGGTGAGTAAAGCATAAAATTTCCCCCTTTTAATGAGTTTTAGTTTATTTGATTTGTGTTGGTTATAATTGAGTGTAATGGCATGAGATTACACTGAAATGAGAAGATTGAGTTCAATAATTTTATGTGAGTAGAACATATATGTTGTTCTTAAACAAAAATGGGTAAAGATATGATTGTTGATATAAGAGTTTACTGTATAAAAATCTGACTATTTGGAATTCTGAAAATTATTTACGTGTTTTGGATCGTTGTTTGAAGTTGGATTTCGGATTTTGAAGTATGTTGTAAACTTCTTGAGGAGTATTTAGAAATTTATTTCACTCAAAAAGTCAAAGTATTGAATTTTCTATGGATTTTTGAAGTTTGCCTTGCAATTCTAAAATTTCTATTTTCTGCAGAACATGCATTTTTGGAAAATGATTTGATGCATCTATCCTTATCCAAATTGAATGATTTTAAATTCTGGTGAATCCTATATGTGTCTAGTTTAATTTTGGAGGTTTTCATGAGATTTCAATTAAGGGTTAAATTGTTATGAATTTTACAAGTTAAGAATCAGTTCGCAGTTTTGAAAGGGTAGAAAGAAAATTATGTTTTAAATATTTGTTGATTCTGGAATGGCTTGAAACTTTTATGGGGACAACATATGTGTTTAGAATACCCCATTAAATTTATAGCTTGTTTGAGTGAGCAGAGTTTTATAAAAATCCTGGAGTGATCAGTGTTCAGTTATGAGACAGCTTTTGTTAAAGGATTTTAAGTTAATCTTTTGGTGTTTAACTGTCCAATGAATTTAATGTTAATGTGTTACCATAGAGAGGCCTTTGTGTGATGAGGTTATTGGATTTTGGATGAAGGAAGGCAAGCGGAGGCACCGTTAGAGGATTTCGACCCTTTCTTCATATTAAGGTTTTTGGCTTCAAAAAGGTGAGTGGATTAGTAATTTTCATTAAAATTTATATTGGTCTTAAGTTGATTAATTATTTACCATGCATGTATACAATATATGTTGAGTTAAGTTGGTGAAGAGAAATCCAGTCAATTGGTGGGGTTGGTTTGTTTGATTAATAAATGTGAGTGTTTTTGTTTTGAATGAATTATAATGATAACGTTTGATTGGGGTTTTGGCTGGATGATGCATAAAATGGGGCTAGAATTATATATATTGTGGATTGCATTTATGCTCAATTTATGCTTGAGAGGGGTGACTGGATTACATGTGTTTATGGGGTACATTGTTGGCCGAATTGAGCATGGAATATACACTGCATGAATTGGTAGATATAGTAATTGAGCTTTGAAGTTTATTTGGGATTTATTAAGAGTTGTTGGGCTAGCTTAGAAAGGGTTGTATAGATTTATAGCCCATTGATTAATAGTGTTGTTAGTGTGATAAAAATTGGAGTATCGGTGGCTTATAAAAAGAGATGGGCTCGACCTGAACATAAGAATTGTGAGTAATGGATAAACTGGGCTGAGTAATTGGGTCTTATTAATTGGTGGTGAGCTGGCTCACTATTAACAAGGCCCATCTTGTTATGGGTTTAGTATTGGTTTGTAATTGGTGGTAGGATTTTAGGGGGCATTTTTTCATTTTTGTGAACATTGAAGTACAATTAGGGGGTTAATCGTAAGGTTTGAAGCCTTTAAGACTATATTTAACTTAAGGACAACTATGGGTTGTAAATGGATATTTTACATGTTGTGATATTTCTAGAATGTGTTCGAGTGTTGTTCTCATATTTATATGCCTTGGCATATGGACGTGTATGAAGTGTGATGTGTTGAATATCCGGGTAAGTGTGTAAGGAAGTGTTTGGGTTGGAAAGCAAAAATATGTTAGTTGGATTTCATACCACCTTTCCATAGTACCCGTCCCTCTTCAGACATCAGCTAGCCTGTATCTTTTTTCTTAGCCTCCTGTGAGTGTTGAGATGGTTTGTACTACTGCATGGTGGTAACATCCTATCGGGACAATACGGATGCCTTAGGAGCTCCAGGCGGGATATTATGGGATACCATATCATGACACCCTAAGGAAAGACTGTGGGTCAAGTATGGTTATCCAGTGATGAGTATACCATCCCGAGGATAGACTGTGGATTGTACCACCCCGAGGATAGACCGTGGATGGGATATTGATACATGACACCTCGAGGATAGATTGTGGACAAGATTCTTCTATATGATACCATATCATGACATCCCGAGGATAGACTGTAGGTCGAGTATGGTTATCTTACGATGATTTAGCCATCCTGAGGATAGACTATGGATGATACCACCCCAAGGATAGACCGTGGGTGGGATATTGATACATGATGCCTCGAGGATAGATTGTGGGCGAGATTCTTCTATATGATATCATATCATGACACCCCAAGGATAGACTGTGGGTCGAGTATGATTATCTTGCGATGATTTAGCCATCCTGAGGATAAACTGTGGGTGGGGTATTGATACATGATGTCCCAAGGATAAATTGTGGGCGAGATTCTTCTATATGATACCATATTATGACACCCCGAGGATAGATTGTGTGACATGACCCGTGTCGACGCTCCCTATCCCATAGGCTTTGGGCGCACCCATGATACTCGGGTGATCAAGACGTGCCATGTGGGAAAACTATGAAACCTGTTTATGAATTAAAACATCATAAAACTCTAAAACAATTATAAACACTCCTTTTTGTTTCTCATAAATAAATATAACATCATTTGCAAATAAACAAATGCAACTGAAATTTTACAAAATGAACATATGTTATCAGATTTTTCCATATCTTTTACAATCCAAAACATGAAATAAATATATGATAAAGAAACATAAACTTTGTAGCGGAAAATAAAATAGAACTATGACACATATGAGGAAATGAAGTCGTGTGGCTCAA